GCGGTGATTTACAAAGATATATGTAAGGGCTAAGGGGAAATATGGATAAGAATATCAGGATTCTTTGCTTCTACTGATAGAAAACCCTACCCAAACTTAAACTAACCAAGCAAGCAAGCAAAAGCAGTGAATTTATTATAACTTCATATTGTTGCAAAATATAACAATGGGGCTGGCTTTTAGTAAAGATTTAGCTCAAAAACTGTAGCCAAAATCTCAGTTTTTCTCTGCTCTCTGGTCTGCCTTCTGCTTTCTGAGCTTCAGGCATCAGCCTCTACATGAACTCCGTTGCCCATACATTGTTCCAGATTTTCTAGAAAGGCTGCAGCCTAATTCATAGGTACTTTCAAGTATCACAATTGGCAGACTGCCAAATGTCTTTAAGATGACATTTTCTTCTTAAATATTGTAAATTATAATGAAAAATGTAGTTATTTCAAGGGCATTATTCTGTGTTACCAGGTGTTATAAGCTGCAAATCTGCATATCAGTTAAGGCTCCTTTCTGGTAATCAGCTTATACTCTGTTTACTAAGTGCAAAGCTACGTTGACATAGTTTTCACACTATCATTATATGTCTTTAAATTATTAAATTTTTTTATACACATACCAATATTTTCCATACTTAAGGTACCTTTGGGTAATATATCTTTTTTTCTTACTTGCAGCTGGTTTGTAAATATTTGAATCACATTATGGGATTGCTAGACAAACTTTCAGGCTTGCTCGGCCTAAAGAAGAAAGAGGTTCATGTTTTGTGCCTTGGGCTGGATAATAGTGGCAAAACAACGATCATTAACAAACTTAAGCCTTCAAATGTAAGTATCTTTGTTAAATGCTTTATGTATTTTCTGCTACTAAAAAAGTTAATATGCATAACTATTTTGTTGACATTATGACTTCTAGTCATGTTATGAAATTCTGTTAACCTTGAAGTACCTTTTAAGTATCAGTCAGCCATAATTTGCATTGTATTTTATGCAGTATATAGGTAAATCTTGATTATTAAACTGGAATATTCTTTCAAATGTTTTTTTCCCCCAAAGATCTTCACAAATTTGCTGAGTTTACTTTTAGGTTGCATTGCCTTCTTTTTAGTTCCCTCTACAGGAGAAGCAAAACAAAGAGAAAGAAATCATTTTTATAGGTTCTATGGATAATGAGACAATTTTTCCCAAAAGTGTGGTATGCATATTAGTAATAGTAAACAAGATGATTTTAAGCAATAATTGTATGAACATATTATTTTAGTAACAGAAATATATAAAGCCAGCACATTCAAAACATGATATATAAGTTAGAGATAGATTCTGCTACATATGTAGAAAACCCACCTAACAGTGCTTTCCTAATTTCTGGTACCACTTCCTGAGCCTTCTTCTTAGGCAACTATCCTGTCTTATTAGAAAATTTGACCTC